TCATGTGAACTCTTTGCACAGACAGTCAGATGTTCTTGCTTCCATTGAAGCACAAAATGCCCTTTGGATCATTCTCAATTCATGCTCGAGAACATGATCAGGTTTTTTACACAAACCTGAGAAATTCATAACAGCTCAATTATTGCCGTCAAAATAAAAACAGAGATAATCTGAAAATCATGTTAATCTGTCCATTAACATTTTTTTACTCAAACTGTCGTGCTAGGAATACAAATTGTATTATACAGAAAAAATGCAAAGAAGCTTTTGCACTAGTGGACTTTTGTGTGCAGACCCCACAAAAATGTTGATATTATGAAATCATTTTTGAAAGGTCCTTTCACTAAATAGCCACACATTATTAAATGGTGCAAATAACACAGACTCACCTCACAAACACTGTGAGCTCTTATTCAGTCCGGTGAAATGGTCTGGAAAACATGAATTCTCTTCTGTCTTCTAAACTTACTGGTTTCCAAATGCCTCTTTTACTCTCAGAGCCTTTTCTATGGGGTGGGGGTTCCTTTCCCTGAAAATGACAGAACTCGTAATGCTGTTAACAAATAGGCTAATCAAGAGAAAGCCCCCGTTAGCCCCCCAACAAAAGCCCCTCTAGTTAGCCAACTAGCCGCAATAACACTAAGTGCTGTTTGCGTGTGACTAGAGACAGAGTAGTCTTGTTATTTAAACCCCAGTGGGAAAAATGAGTGAATTTGACCGTCTGGGACCCTTCAGGCTCAACCGAGCTCTCCTCTCAGGGTCAGGATAGTCCCAGCTGGGGAAGAGAGGCCTGCCTGCTGGGGGAATGCTCTTTTATATTAACCCCCTGCTGTTACTGAAACCCCGCTGGATTTTAGAGTGATGTTGTGATGATACTAAAAGACACGGGTCCTGGTCCTTCAGTGCAGACCTGTCACACAGTATCACCACTCTCCTCATCTGCCTAGAAAACTGCTCCTGAAAGTCCTCCACAGGAAGTGCTCGCTCTTGTCTAAAAAGATTCATTTCAAATGTAATTACTAGTGATCAGCAAATATTTCTTTATTCTGTTTTGATATGAAGTGATAATTTTCATCTTTTTAAACCCTGATAACCAGGCCCACATGGAATTTGAGCATATGCTGCAGATTTCTGTCAAATCCAGTATTTGTGTGTTAATTATAGTATTTTGGTTAATTTAATTATGCATTTAGCTACACATAAGGAGGTAGTACTTCTACTCAATTTAACTCATTTTATCATGCTTAAATCACAAATCTTCTTCTAAAATCAGTGCAGAAAATCAGGAAAAGTGTGCAGATTGCACTTAGAAATTATACGTGAATATGATTCATAGGGTTGTAACGGTATGAAAATTTCTTATCACGATTATAGTGACCAAAATTATCACGGTTATCAGTATTATCACGTTATTGTTAATATGTGCTGGAGATGTTAAAAAAGTACCGACACATAAATCACTTCAAGTTTTATACTTAAAAATCAACAAACAACAAATAAAATGAGCTTTTGTTTGCATAATCACTAAAACAATAACATTACCAACGATGTTCGGATTTTAAATGAAAACTTGACTGACAACAGTTTGATAGCATGTTGAAATATATGTAAATGTTCAAATAAAGCTTGGAAAAAGTTTCATAAAAAAACACGTGAGACTGTTACTTAAGACTGGACAGTATTTATTTATCACGAGTTGTTCAAATCGCAGTAATCTAATACGGTTTTAATGACAATTAAAAGATGAAACGGTAATCCTAACCGTGGGGAATTTTATCATGATTTATCTTCAAACCGGTAACCGTTACATCCCTATGTGACACTGAAGACTGGAGTAATGATGCTGAAAATTCAGCTTTGATCACAGAAATAAATTACATTTTAGAATATATTCACATAGAGACCAGCTATTTAAAAATATAATTATATTTCACAATATTACTGACTTAAACATATTTTTGATTCTTTAAAAAAAAAAAATAAAAATAAATTCAAATTCTGTTTTTTTAACAGTAGTGTGGCTATGCCTAAGAATCAGATTTGAGCTTTTGATAGTGAACAAAGACAAGACAGATTAGGTAATTCAAAACAACGAAATCACTAAAGATCTGGTGTGAATGTTACCTGGAGGCCAGGTGGGGTTGACAGGAGATGCGTCGACCTTCCCTCCTGTGCTTCGGTGCCAGCTGCCGCCCAAAACATCGTACTGAGAGAACGAGGAGCCGCTGGCCTGCTTGACCGGCCCTGAACACACACACAGAGCTCAACACCTATCCAATCAGTGCTACTTTCATTCATTTTCTCAAATTACATGTTTTTTTTTTCATTTTTAATCATCAAATAGTCATTAAATTCTTCTAATCAAAAAGAATGTCTAATCAACTGAATTAGTAACACCTTATTTTTTTTTATATAATATACTAACATTTGAACAATAACAGATAAAATGCTATGAAATGTTTTGTTGTTTTTGCCAAAATGTTGTGCTGTCCATTTTTCTGGATTCTGTGTTTTATGATTTTATTAATAATAAATGTGTGTGTATATATATACATATACACATATATATACAGTATATATTCAGAAACGTATATATTCATGGTAATCAAATGAATCCACAAAACTTGAAATGATATATCAGGCAATTTCATGGCAAACTCTGAGTAAATAAAAAATTGCATTAGCAATTATATAAGCTCTTTCACATTTATATTTGAAAATAAAAAGAATTGATATATTCACATTATGGGATTCATTTGTTTGTTTATTTTATTTAACATCATAGCAGCAAAGGCTATTTCATGGCAAATTTCAGAGCAGTATAAATTCAAATCATCAACAATAAAACTTCAATGACAAAGAAAATTACATAAAATATTTTCTTTACAGCAAAATAAGAACATAGCTCTTTTTTAGAAGCTCTTAGACTTGAAATGAAACTTACAAATGAAAATCTACTCATCCTCAGGCCATCCAAGATGTAGATGAGTTTGTTTCTTCATGGGAACAGATTTATTTCATTCATTCATTGAATGAATGAAACATTAATTTCTCAAACATTCATCAATTCCTTTAATTACATTTTGAATAAAACCATCCTCTAATATCATTTAAAGCAGCAAATTCCAATAAAATATGCTCAACAGTTAAAGGGATAGTTCACCCAAAAATGAAAATTCTGTCATTAATTACTCACCCTCGTGTCGAGTATTCTCGCAGCTTCGTAACTTTACAGTTGAACCAGTGACGTCACACGGACTACTTTGTCGATCATCTTGGTACTTTTCTGGACCTTGAACGTGGTAGTTACCTTGCTGTCTATAGGATTAATTTTTGGGTGAACTAACCCTTTAAAGACGTTCATTCATTCATTCATTCATTCATGTGTTTGAGGAGGTGGGGTCCTCACCTGTGAAAGCAGCAGGAGCTTTGCTGTGCAGCTCAGATCCTCCCATGGCTGCATGCACTGGCCCATCAGACTGTTTGTGTGCGTTCATGCCCAGCTGGTGGAGATGCACGTCTGGGTGTTTGGGGACGTGTCCTCCCATGGGGGGCGGCGAGAGTTTGGGCCCAACACCCTGCTGCTGCTGCAGAATTGCCATGATCCGCGCCAGCTACAAAGAAAACACACGTTAATGAAACAAACTTGGTCCATTCAAAATGTTCTTTCAAAGCATGAGTATTTGTATTCCAGTTAATATACCTAAAAACACAGAATAAGATATTAAGACTTGTTATTAGAGATTTCATCTTGATTGTAATGTTATGTTGACTTATGCATAAAAAGTGTAAATCTGCCAGTTTGCCAAGTAGAGAAAATCAATGAAAAGACTGGTCTTACAAGATAGTAGGTCTGGGGTATCGATTCAGATGTCCTGATTCGATTCGATTTCGATTCGCAAGCTCTCGATTCGATTCGATTCTCGATTTTTTGATTACATTCAGTGAATATAGTTTTAATACAAATGCTATTGATATTTCTAAAAAATGAACAGTAAACATCAGTTTACAAATGGTGAATTAATAAAAAGAAATTAAGAACCACATGCCTGTATTTTAAACCTATACTTTTTTTTGTATGGGTCCTTTTTTAATAATAACAATAATAGGGCCCTATAAAATGTTCTTAATTTTTCTGGTAATCAGATGAAGGCATAAAACATTAATTTAATTTTTGCGAATCACGCGTATGGCCATGATAAGCGCTGAATGAATGACAGGCTTTCTGTTGTAACATCGCGCAAGGTAAATAAGGGTGACATCTAGTGGAGAAGACTAATGATAAGATTCACGTTAATCAGATCTTATTTTAAATGTGTGCTGAAATAAATCCCGGAAAAGATCGATTCGCGGCTTTTGAGAATCGATATCGAATCGACGTCATTTAAAAAAACGATTAATCGAAAAAAACAATTTTTTTGCCCAGCCCTACAAGATAGTCATCTAATTTTCTTTAAGACTAGTTATAATTTTTTGAAATTCAGATACATAAAAGCATAGATTACTCAAAGTTACCGTAAATCCAAAAATAAGACTGATTACTTATTGGCTAACTGCTAGTTGGTCAAACTCATTTTTTTTTAAAATAGAAACCATTTAATGAACCCTTAAACAAAATCTTTAAATAAGTCAGCATAATGCATTTTGTGTTTTGTATCATATTTGATATATCAGGCTTTTATGGCTCATAAAGTCTGATATAGTGAGAATACGGAGGAAAAAACAGCTCAGTTTTATTCAGAGACAGTTTTACCCTTGCTGATATTTACATGTATATTTATATGTATGTATATTTATGTGGCCAAAAAACAAAGAATGAAATTCTGATAGCTTGTAATAGTGAGAATATGGAGGAAAAAACAGCTCAGTTTTATTCAGAGACAGTTTTACCCTTGCTGCTATTTACATGTATATTTATATGTATGTATATTTATGTGGCCAAAAAACAAAGAATGAAATTCTGATAGCTTGTAATGTAAACCAATTGTAAGATTGATGATCAAAACATATGATGAAATGCTATACAATCCTGACTGAGAGGTCATTAAAAACAAAAATGTTTCTCAAAAGCCTGATGATCATATTTGATGCTGACATTTGAATATGACTTTGTTTTTTTTTGTTTTTGTTTTTTTTAATGATGAATGGACAACTTAGTAAACTTAAGTTGCTTCAGTCCAGTAAATGTTCGTCTTGAATATTAGTCAGTAGGGGGCGCTGTGCGGTTACTTGGATGCTGTACCTGCTGTGGGTCGTGCTGTTGTCTCACAGGAGGAGGAAACTTCCTCTGATTCAGAAACTGCTGCTGCTGTTGTTGTTGTTGTTGTTGTTGCAATAGGAGCTGACAGGCCTGAGATAGAGAATGTACATAAAACATTAAAACAACACTTTTTAAACACCTTACATGATAGGGCTAAATGTGATACATACTAGTTGAAACTGTTGCATGTGTGGATGAATGCCACCGAGCATGGCGAGGTGTTGGGGGGAAAGCTGTGGAGGGAACATGCCTCCACTAGGGGGCGCCATTGGCTTTAGAATTGGCCCAGGAACCTGCAGAACAACGGAGGAACCATGATATGACTGTGAGCTAATAAACATCCATTTATCAGTGTTAAAACCAAGAACTGACCTGAGGCGGCAGGAACTGATGAGGCACTTGTGCTCGTATCCCAGGGGAAGGGTTTAAGGGGTGCACACCAGCCTGATGAATCCCTCTCAATGGTGGAATCCCACCACCGCCAAACATACTATGACCTCCAACCTTCAAAATAACAGCAAAGAAGAGCAACAGCTAAAGCTTAGGGCTTTGGAGGGTTTTTAGTTCGAGTCCATTAAAATCTACCAATGAACTTTCACCCTTGTGACCTTGAACAGCCGGCATGAAACAGAAGCGGCAATGGACTTCTGTATGGTGACGTACTTTCGAGTGAAACCGCTTGTCGAATATGACCAAAAAAAAAAAGCACTTGATATTGAGTAGCATCAGGTAAATCTGATCTCACAGGTTGCTCCAGGGTCACTCAGGGCTGGAATAAGTCCAGCTGCTTTTCGTTTTCGAGAGGGTTTCTGCTTTTATATGCCATGGGATATTTGTTATTAGATATGACTCTCTTTGCCCTTCAGTGAAGATGTGATTGGATGCGTCTCAGTACCTTGTCCAGGTAAGGTCCGGTCTCCCCGCATGGCGTCTCTTTGGACATCTGTGAGCGGAAGGCTCCCCCAGTCCTGCCGCCTCTCCGCATCTCACCATCATTCATTCCTCTCCTATCGTGCCTACTATCGTGACCCATACTGGAGTCTTCATCCTGAAAAACACATACAGCATATTTCTACACATCTGCAGCAACACACAAGAGCAGATCAGCAAAGTGGTAACGAAGAGCTTACCATAACACTCATGTTTGAGAACTGCCGAGTCACAGGAGATGCCCACGAGTCCCCACTGTTGCCTTTAAGAGGGCTCTGGGGGACAAACCAAAGGGTTACTTAGGAGTCGATAAGTTTTCCCTAAGTAAAAAAGCCTTAGGGAGATCAAAAAAGAGCTCCCAACATACCTTAGCGTTGAGTCTCCTGGCCCCCTGACCTTGCCCCCAGCCCCCGGAGTTGTATGTGGACAGGTTGCTTTGAGATCCCCGACTGCCCCAAACACCAGTGCCACCACCCTCTTCCTCCAAACTGGAGTGTCGGGATACAGTCGAGCCTTCCTCACCCCATCCCTCTTGCATAGACTTTGAACCTTAATAGTAAATATGAAGATCAGCTCAAATGACACTTGAAAAGTTCCACAATTAATTGGCAACACAATCACAATTACGGCTGCCATGATTACCTAATTGTGAAAAGATTTAATTAACCAGCATTATATTTAGATTTACTCTCATTGTATCAAATGTTACCATTTACAACATTTTTGTAGTGCTTAACATTTCCGTTCATCTACTCTGCAAACATGTGCGATTGGTTACAATAGCAAATGCAATAGCAAATCACCAAACCAAAATAATGTTAGTGACCAAATATGCAATTATGTCCGGCAATTTTACTGATTTCTAACGGAGTGCTCTATGGACCAGTTTGGATGTGTAATCTATATAAAAAAAACACAACATGCTGTTACCCACAACAAAAAAGTATTTTAATGTAAATACATTTGAATGTAATCACAATTTCAATATCAAGGGACATAATCAACAATTAGAATTTTAGTCAGTCATGCAGCCATAGCAAATCACCAAACCAAAATAATGTTAGTGACAAAATATGCAATTATGTCCGGCAATTTTACTGATTTCTAACAGAGTGCTCTATGGACCAGTTTGGATGTGTAATCTATATAAAAAAACACAACATGCTTTTACCCACAACAAAAAAGTATTTTAATGTAAATACATTTGAATGTAATCACAATTTCAATATCAAGGGAAATAATCAACAATTAGAATTTTAGTCAGTCATGCAGCCATTTGAGAAACCCCATCTTACAGTTGTTCTCAGGGTTGCCAGATCTGCAGAACAAAACCAAGCCACTGGCCAATAAAAACTATTTCAATGACTTGCCCCAAAACTAGCCCAAATAATCACTGTATAATAGTAGTTGTGAACACAGTGTCTCATTAAGTACAGTATTATCATTTGTAGAATATAAATTAGGTAGAATGAAATATTTCAATACAAGCATAATTGGTGCAACATGTCAAACCTTTAACCCACAGGGAAAAAACCTGCCAATGGTTTAAAAGTAGCCCAATTCCTTGCAAAAACCACAGACTTGGCAACCCTTGAGCATGTGCACTTAGACAGGCTCTTACCACATTTAGTAGAATGGGAATGCACATTTCCCCATCCTTCTCCTTTCCCTGGTTCACTGGATTCCCCCCAACCATCAAACGATTTCCCCCAAGCAGCTGTACTGCTGTCCATGGACGAATCGGAGGGACCACTGCTGCGTGCCCATGTCGCAGGAACTGGAATGTGAACATGTGTTGATGAATGGGATGTTTCTGATTTGAAATGGTTTAACTACTTCAAAATGCACTGCCGCCTTCTTACCAGAAGTTTTAGATGGAGCTCCAGCCTGTCTCCCAGACGACTGCTGTTGGTCCTGTGAGCTGTTCTTATCCCACAGATTGACGGCCCTGCTGTTGTAGCGTGACGGATCCCCCCATGCAGATGTGCCGTCGTCGATTTCCATCTTCCGGTTGATGGACTGCGGCAAGGGTTCCTCCCACCCACTCGGCTCTACAACAGAAGGCATCTGAGGGATGGGCCCACAGGTCCACCCAGACCCTTTACCCTGGTCGTCTGTCTCTCCTGGACGACCCTGATCCTGCAAGGCTTTTGGATATCCCGGCATTTGCTGCTGGGTTTGTGATTGCTGTTGTTGATTTTGGGTCTTAAGTGCTGCTTGTTTGTTTGGTGTCCGTGATGGAAGAAGCTTCTCACCCCATCCCTGGTGCTGTTTGACACTGCCGCCTCCCAAGCCACCACTCCGCTGTCCCGACCCTTCCGGGCTGCCCCATAACCCTTCATCCTGATTCTTGCAGTCACTGTCTCTCTCTTCATTCCAGCCTCCACCCTCGGGTAATGGAGTCCACTCACTTCCACCACCCTGGTTCCACCCCGTCCCTTCCTTCCTGCTAGTATCTTCAACCTCCTGGCCTTCTCCCCAACCGCTTCCTTTGCGACCATTCCCAACGCTTGTTTCTCCATGCCCGGTCCACCCTTGATCTCTTCCCACCTGGCCAACCTCCTGCTTCTGCATTTTGGAGCTGGAAAGGTCACCTGCTTCCCGCCAGCCTTCCTTACTATGGGCGGTGTGCTCTTCTACATCCCAGCCAACATTCCCACTGTCACCCTCAAAATCCCAGGCGGCATTCTGCTTGATCTGGGTCTTGCCCCATCCTGTGTTGCACAGTACTTTAGGATCCAGGTTAGTGTGATTGATCATGGTCTGTAAGGCTTCCTCTGGGGGGAGGGCCTGACATTTTGAGGGGCTTTGGACCAGATTTTTGGCATCCTCATTGCGTTCTCTGCCAGTTAATTCTCCCTCAGATCCATTCCAATCATCATCTGCTTTCTGATTGTCGTCTTCTGATGCCACGCTGTTCGCAAACACTGAAGAGTCCTGTAAACTATCTGTGCTTACCTCAGAGATCTCTCTCACATCCTCTTTTGATGCTCCAGCCGCTGAGTCTGAGGTCCATCCTGTAGCTGCCTGTTTGTTTGAACCTACCGTGTCTCTGTCCAACACTTCCTGAGAGATGCCAGTGCCATCACCAGAACTTCCAACTACTGCATCACTGCTCTTCCCAACAGGGTCTTCTCCTGTATCCCACACTTCCTTATTGGAGACTCCATCATCTCCACCACCATTTGGTCCAGCTTGAAGCTCTGTCCAATCCCCTGTAATGCGCTCTTCGTTCTTGCAGAGTGTCTGGTACAGTGCACTGGCTGGACTCAAGGGTGTGGGAGAAGATTCCTCAGAAGCAGTGTGGAATAAGAGATTTCGACTGGAGGCTGCTTCATCGGGGTTGTAATTTGGATTTAGACCTTGAGTGCCCTCCTGGTCTCCAGAAAGCAGCGGCACCTTGGAATTGAAGTCTTGATTGACACCTTTAATGGATTCTTTATTCTCAGAGTGTGAAGACGCACCTCCTATCGCATTGGCTTCTGCATATTCAGAGAGTCGAGAAGAACTGTCCTTTCCCAGGCCGTCAGACTCATCCATCCCCGAACTGGGAGAATGTGGAGTCTGATCACTATTCCATGAGTCTTCCGGTCTTGACCATTTCTCAACATCAGAATTATCCTTGTCCATTCCCTGAGCGGAGGGTTGACGTCCTGAGCCCAGCCCCCATGTGTAATTTGCATAAGTGGGAGTGGCAGAGGTGTCAGACGATGAGTGCAGAGAAACTGAATCTACTGTAGGATCTGGAAGAGAAAAACACACCACATCAAAAAAGAATAAAAGCCAACAAAAAAAAAAAAAACAACCACCACCACATGATTATACTTTTGTTCAACAAGGATGCATTAAACAGATCAAAATTGACAGTAAAGAAAAATCACAAAATTCTAACCCTTGCATGGAGATTTATTAAGTATTATAAAAGAACCACACAGCTCTGTTTAATTCATTTTATTAAGTCCATTCTGTATCCAATAATTTTCTTTTCATTCGCCCCACCTGAGTCATCAGCTTGCTCCTGCAGGGGAAGTTGGGGCATGGTGTCCCCTCCGTTTCCGCCCCCCAGCAGCATGCAGGACAGTGGCGGCTGGCCCCTCTTCAGTAGCACTTTTGGTTCCTGTTGGTTGCGGAAGCGCGGGGGCACCTCACGGGGCATGTAGCGCTGGGACACCGCGGAGGAGGGCTGTCCGTTGGCCACAGTGGTCCACTTTGCATTGTTCTCTCCCTCAGGGGGGTCCGACGAACCCCCGACAACAGGACAGGGGGAGTTTTTTTCGTCTGGACCGGGTCGTAATGAAGCAGAGGTAAGGGTTACAAGGGATGCAGGAGATGGAAATGAGCCCAATTCTAAAAGGAGCAGAGCGGTTAAGAAGAAACAAATTAAAAAAAAAAAAAAACATTGCAATGAATAACATTTCTTAAAATGAGTTCTATATAAAAGGCAGAACATTTCTGAAATCTGAACTAAACTCTCACTGCACAAACGCAGGAAGTGATGTGATGCATCCTGATAAAGCACAACAGCGACTGCTCACTCATAAACATATCTAAGTAAAATTTTCAGAACTTGAACCAAACCAACACAGAACTCAGAAATTAGATAAAAACAAGTGATGTACCAACTTTCAGTAACCAAAAATATTCAGGCAAACAGAAAAGATAAAAAAAGTTTTAAAGAGGCGAAACCATTGAGTGAACTGTTTATTAAACATGTCAGCAATGACAACACACTCCAACATGATCAAAAATGGTTTTACAGGGTTTAAAGTGACAGCAGCCTATACTGCGCTCCCTCTTGTCAATGTCATTAACTTTAATCAAACAACAAATGACAAATAGAAAACATATCACTGCACTTGGCCAAATAACTCTTGTAGCTTTAACAAGGATTAATCTATATTTAATTTATATAGTGAAAAACTTTTTTTTCTATGCAGATGCAACAAAATCACCCCACTAACTCTAGTGATTAATTCTTTCCAAATAAAGCTATTCCTCTGGTGAAAATACCTGTATTCATTCATACTGTATAAATGCACATATTTATAAAAAATATTGCAATATTGTCAGTTTTTTCCTAATATCTTGCAGCCCTACTTTGAATTTCAATATAACACAGACCAATATAGTACAGTGTTTCCCACAGTATTACACTCTATGTGTGGCGGCACTTCCCCTGAGGAAAATATATATGTTTATAATATAAATATAAAACAGATGGGCTTATTGAAAGTGCAAATTAATTCTCTGCCAGCAGGAGGCGCTTTAAGAGCGGCAGAAATAGCGGTCTCCCCAGTAACGGCTGTACACAAAACAGCACTGCGCTCATGAACGCTGCTTTATCAGGCATTATAGTAAAGATTAAATGAAAATGACATCAAAACTTTTCTGAAGACAATCGGTTTCCTTCAAAAAAGATACATTCATATAAAAACACGTGCCGCGCTTTGACTTTGAACCGTGCAGAGCTCATGTTTATTCAACGAAGTCAAAGCCTTTTGGAAAATCTATTTGTGGCGGTCAGTGTTGATATTGTGGCGGGATGCCACAAACAAGTCAATGTATGGGAAACCCTGTAGTAACAGAAACTTGTATTGTATTATTCATTGTAAAGCCTATTCAAATCAATTTCTGATACTAATACCAGATAGGCTATATGATCATGTTTAAATATATTACATATAATTACGTACATAAAGAAATATACTTTGTGTTGGATCAGTTACCTGTGTCGGCAGTGTGCAGCCGACACACCCACCTTAACGATTTCAATATATTGCTAATCCTGCCCAAAAAAAGACCATAAACATTGCAGATAACACATATCTTAAAAACAAATCCCATGTGACTGATACACTTCAAATCAGGTGATCTTAGGTCAGTTTTTTGGATGTCAGACAGTGATGCCCTCTGCTGGTAGGGAATAGTAAGATCGATGACAGCTCGAACACTCCGGTGGTTTCACTGCCTGACGGCAGTTTAGAACATAATGAGCAATCCAGTAGGGTTGTGACGGTGAGGAAATTTTCCCACCGGTTAATCGACGTGTAACAACACTGGTAATACCGGTATCACCGCGGTGGCGTCCCCTCTTTTCCTCGCTTTCCTTCGCTTTTAAAGAGCTTGTAAAAGCAAAATTTTACTTTCACTTTCAAATAGCGGCAATTCGGAGTAAAGCAATTGTTCGTTTTTAGTTCGTTTGAATTTTCCTCACTTTTAAATAGCTTAAAAGCGCCGTGCGCATTTTACTTTCACTTTCGAATTAGCGGCAGTTAGGTGTCAATTGCTTGAATGCAACAACAAAATACAAAGTCAAACTCACTTTAGCGTATATATAAAACATAGAACTTTTATTAACATATACACCATGCTATAGGGCAGGCTATGCCTAATATAAAATAACAAATAACTTACATAAAGTTTATATGTACAAAACTGGAAACAAGTAAACATGTATAATATATAACCAAATAAATAAGAAACGTAGAACGTTTATTAGCAAAACGAGTAAGAAAGCCTGGAGGCATGGCATACACCTTGATGTCAAATAAAATAAATAAATGACACAAAGTTTAAATAAAGTAAAAATCAGCAAACAATGTGGAACCAATTAAATAAGAAACGAATGTTTAAAAAAACTTCCAAAATCACCTTAGATAAACGGCAAAATCAGCAGGCTTTTCAAAATCCTAAATATTGCCAAACAGTAGGGGTGTGCGATATATATCGTTTGCGATAATATCGTAATTGTTGTTCTAACGATGTGAGATTTGACATTATCGAGTATTTTGCAAAAAACTTTCAAAACACCCCTACAGAGTGCATGCATACATTACGTGAAGTCTACACTAGTGCGCGCGCACATTTAGAGTGCAGTCTATTACAACACATTTAGAATGATCACAAATTCAAGACATGGGGGCAGAAAATGTATATATTTATACCACTTCAAATAGCCTAGTTAATCAATTTCACACAAAGAGTGCCGTTTTTTTTTCTCCAAAAATGACAATGATTACAACTGTGATACTGATTTTTTTTACAACAGTTCAATAAACAAGAAGTTAATTAAGAGACTTACGCTTTAGACACCATATTTCCTGTTTTTGCGCTATTTTGACAACAAAAAATAATTCCAAACAACCACAGCGCTGTTTTGCGTCTCTGAGCAACATGACACAGTTTTGTTCCTGATTGAATTAATCGTTTAAATGATTCGGTTCAATCGCATTGACTTATTAACAGTGACTTGCTGCCACCTACTGGCGGTTTTAATTTCACATTCAGAGTATCTTTTATTATTTAAATAATTTCAAATATCAGTATTCAAAAGATAATGGACACTTTTAGAAAAAAAAAGGCTTTATAAAGGTCAAAATGCCCATAAAATGTAAAAATATTGATTTCTATCAGTGTGAACTGACCACTGCACAGAATATGAAGAATGTCAAGTCAGCTGTCCATGGCAGTCCTTAAGATACCAGCACAATAACACACTCAGCAAAATATCGTCTAATTATCGTTATCGATAAAATCCCAGCAAATATTGAGATATTATTTTTTGTTAATATCGCACACCCCTACCAAACAGGTGCTTTTGCATTTCGTTTCGAAACTAAATCATCCGTGATCGTCTTGTCTGTCTCACCTCACTCTTCTTGTCAGTCAGCTCGACTCACTCTCCTCACGTAATAAATAAAATCTGACTCCTGCTCCGTGGAGCACTGTCGTTCGCACACGGTTCGGCACGGAGCATTGAGCGTTTAGTTTTTAAAAGTGTCTGTCCTCTAACTGAACAAGGCTAAATGATTTTTGTTACTATAAAAAAATCAAAAAGACAAAAAAATCAAATGGCGGTGCCACGGTAGGCAAATGACGTAACCGGTGTTGCGGCTTAACACCGGTATAACCTAAAACACCGTCTATCGCGGCAACTGTATTTTGGACGCCTCTACACTTTTCAGTTCAGAGTTTGGTGTTTTTGACTAGTTTATCTAGATTTTTCTTCAGCGACACTAATTCATCCACTTTAAAGTGCAGGGCTCGGCATTAATGCTTGTCCGCTTGTTCGGGACAAGTGAATGTTTTGGACGGGCAAGTGAAAGAGAAATTTACTTGCCCAATTGGACAAGTAGCCTAACTTGAAAATGTCAATACCAAAAACAGTAATAGCTGCCTTTATTTGTGATATAGCCTTTGTTATAGGGGTGTGTGATATATATCGTTTGCGATAATATCGTAATTGTTGTTTTAACGATGTGCGATTTGACATTGAATATTTTGCAAAAAACTTTCAAAACACCCCTACAGAGTGCACACATACATGAAGTCTAGACTAGAGCGCGCACGCATTTAGAGTGCAGTCTATTACAACACATTTAGAATGATCACAAATTCAAGACATGGGGGCAGAAAATGTATATATTTATACCACTTCAAATAGCCTAGTTAATCAATTTCACACAAAGAGTGCCGTTTTTTTTTCTCCAAAAATGACAATGATTACAACTGTGATACTGATTTTTTTTACAACAGTTCAATAAACAAGAAGTTAATTAAGAGACTTACGCTTTAGACACCATATTTCCTGTTTTTGCGCTATTTTGACAACAAAAAATAATTCCAAACAACCACAGCGCTGTTTTGCGTCTCTGAGCAACATGACACAGTTTTGTTCCTGATTGAATTAATCGTTTAAATGATTCGGTTCAATCGCATTGACTTATTAACAGTGACTTGCTGCCACCTACTGGCGGTTTTAATTTCACATTCAGAGTATCTTTTATTATTTAAATAATTTCAAATATCAGTATTCAAAAGATAATGGACACTTTTAGAAAAAAAAAGGCTTTATAAAGGTCAAAATGCCCATAAAATGTAAAAATATTGATTTCTATCAGTGTGAACTGACCACTGCACAGAATATGAAGAATGTCAAGTCAGCTGTCCATGGCAGTCCTTAAGATACCAGCACAATAACACACTCAGCAAAATATCGTCTAATTATCGTTATCGATAAAATCCCAGCAAATATTGAGATATTATTTTTTGTTAATATCGCACACCCCTACCAAACAGGTGCTTTTGCATTTCGTTTCGAAACTAAATCATCCGTGATCGTCTTGTCTGTCTCACCTCACTCTTCTTGTCAGTCAGCTCGACTCACTCTCCTCACTGGAGAAATTAAATCTGATCTGTGATGCGACTGTCGTTCGGCACGCTGCATTGAGCAGCCGCATTCAGTTTTTAACGGTAGTGTCTGTTCTTTTACTGAACGAAATGATTTTTATTACTATAAAAAATCAAAACAACGGTGGGGGTCGGTGCTGCGGTGGGCAAGTGACGGCTTTGTTGCGGCTTAACAACGGTATCACCGTCAGCACCGTCTATCGTGGCAAGCCTACGATCCAGTCATTTTAATCAAACTTCACTTACCCAAATCAAACACAAAAGCAAATTACTAACCTTTTGCGCTGTCTTCAGAGTCCTGTAATAAAAACAAACTGCTCGTCAGATGTTTGCATGCACATATGCAGCTAATGGATGTTTTCTCGAGTATGTACAATGTTAAACCCAACAAAAGCATTGCCCACCTCCTGATGACTGCTGTCTCCTGTCTTATGGTGACTTATGGTGTCTTCCATGAACTGCTGCTCCTTTCCTGTTCCTGTGACATGACACACACATCACATTATAGCTCTGTGGTTAACTGCACTGTTTTATTGATAGACGCAGTATATGCCCTGTATGCATGCCATGAAAATATTTGCATCAAGCCAGGTAATGAAGCAGTAAAGATTTTATTCTACTGTTTTTGTGTTAATACTTGCAAACTTTCTTACACAAACCCAATGCACAACATCACACTGATGGCAAATGGTAAAAATAACCAGATACATACATCACGGCACTGAACGATGACCATACTACGATATTAGTTCTCTAGTGTACTTCAAAGACCAGTGTACTACACGAAATGAACTGTCGGGTTTTGCCATAAAGCTGATTTATTTATCTTTCTGCTTGAACTTACCAAGCTAGCATGCTAATTATGGCGCATTCACACACAAACGTTCAAACGCACAGACAAATATGCTTTGGTATCACTTAAAACAACTAGAAAAGGGTTACTTGGATAATTTCAGGCCACGAAAATGTATGTGAGTCTTCTACACATTTAATTATTCAGCGGATATCGATGGTAAACAGATGAAGAGATCAAAACTAAATGCAGAACTGAAGATACGTTAGCGGAATTACAAAGACAGCCTTCAAACATGACTCTAACAGATTATTTCACATGTATACGTTTGTATGTTGCTGTTAGCGCGATATATGTTGTGTATGTTTGCAAATGTTTGAGCTTGTTTTGCTCACCTCAGTAAGTCCGGCCTGCAGCTGCGCACTGACGCCGCGCCGATCAACATCCGGGTATCAGGTCACATAAACACACACATATGTAACGGGGTTGTCTCTGCGTTGTGTAAAACTCAGGATGGATACCAATTCGCGCTTGAAGACAGACTTTTATTCTGTTGACAACATATTAAACAGCAGTGATCAGATTCGCAAATCACCCTCGTGCATGCTCGCAACCAGTCACCCTCTCGGCTGGCGCGAATCTAAATTACTAACATTTATATAAACAGTTATACAACAACACAATTGAGAAATATGTACCTGTTGACAACATATTAAACAGCGGTGATCAGATTCGCAAATCACCCTCGTGCATGCTCGCAACCAGTCACCCTCTCGGCTGGCGCGAATCTAAATTACTAACATTTATATAAACAGTTATACAACAACACAATTGAGAAATATGTACCTGTTGACAACATATTAAACAGCGGTGATCAGATTCGCAAATCACCCTCGTGCATGCTCTATAATAAGGTGAACAAACTTGATGTTACCACAAATATAATGTAGCATGAACACAAATACAGTATTCATTTAAACGCACGTATTTATCAATATTAGTCCATAAGACGGTTATACAATTAGTACACTATACTTTTATCACGGAGCACTCACTCACCGCAGCAGTCACCCTCTCGGCTGGCGCGAATCTAAATGACCCTACCGGAACTAGTTCATTATCTGGGTGGAGCGTGCAGGTAGAGTGCAATTAAAGGGACCAAAACACACCACTATAAACAATTACAGTATCATTTGCATTAACCAATAGAGCAAAATGTATACCATAGAGAAAAAAAAAGAAAGAAAAATATGAGATACCATATAAAACTCAAGCAACATAAATCATGTTTACCCCAGAACTTTTTGCTGGTTCATTATCTCAATCAATCTCGTAACTGGTTTAAACAGTCTACCAGCTCTGGATCTCACACGACTTAGTGAACGTTTAGCAGGAAAGTTATCAACACTTATATTAGACACTGAATTAGCTTCTACAAGGCGACCACCATTAAGCATCGCAGCAGTCAAGGAAACAGGAGCAAATAATTCAACTTGATCTGCAATGGATTCAGGTACACTCCTGTCCATACCCTCAACATCATCATAACCCTCAGTTCTCAGCTGGGTTGTTGTATCAGAGCTGTCAATCACATCATGCTCCAATTCATTAGACTGAGCCGTATCCAAGGCTTGTATAGTCTCAAGAACATCTGTAGCTTCCGCCACATCATCCATGTCTGCATCATTTGTGCCATCAGAAGGTAGCTGTGTTGTTCTTGGTCTTTGCTGGCAGAGCACGTATCATATTGCCCAGCATCCTGTTCATCCTCTCACATGCTCCGTTACCCATCGGATGACAGGGAGTTGTTCTCGACTTTTGGACTCCAGAGACATTCAACAGCTCAGCGATCAGGGCACTCTCAAAGTTGGCTCCTCTATCAGAGTGGATACGCACTGGGAAAGCTGCTGGCTCATTCATTCGCTCCCTCCTATTTGGTCTCTGTCTTCTTTCGACAAAGCAAATCACCCTGCTCAAGATATTATCTTCCTGTTGTTCCTTAATTAGATGTTTATGGGACAGCACATCAAAGTCTGGTGATTCCGATGGCATTATTGCTTGTGGAAGGTGAGGCAGCAAGAAGGCATGTGACTTGATGTTTTCATCGCTATGCCTACAAGAGTGCAGAACAGACTCCACTTCCTGCTTTGACATTGTGCCAGGTAAGGAGACTTTAACTGTATGGCAGGCAACGGCCACTCCTCCAGTATCAGGAGTACTGTCAAAGGGGTGAGTAGACCAGCGAAAGACATCTTGGATATGGTCTTTTTACAGCTTCAGCCTCTGCCAGCAATTTATCATAAGGAACTCTCGTCAGACGATGGAGTACACTAGGGTGCACAAAGGGCTCTCGGCTCAGGGCATCAGCAACTACGTTTTTTGGACCAGGAACATACTTAATATCAAACTGGTATGGTGCTAGTTTAGCAACCCATCTGTGTTCGCATGCATCCAATTTAGCTTTGGACAGAATATACGTTAATGGGTTGTTGTCTGTCCAGACAGTAAATTTCTGACCCCTGAGCCAATGATGAAATTTGTCACAGATAGCCCATTTCATGGCGAAAAACTCCAATCTATGCGCAGGGTATCGTGACTGAGTGACTTGCTTGCGAAAGCAACCGGCCTAGCTACTGTTCCACCAGCAGGAAGCTGGGACAAAACTGCCCCGAGTCCATTACTTGACACATCCACTGAAAGCAAGAATGGCTCATCAAAATTTGGATGGGACAACACGACTTTTTCAAGCAAGGCTTTCTTCATTTGTACAAAAGCTTGCCTAGATTCCTCAGTCCAATCTGAAGAAGACAACTCTCTCTGATACATTTGACGCTTCCGTTTTCCACGTGGAGCCTTTGTTCCAGTAGTAAGTTTGAACAATGGTTTGGCAATAGCTGAACAATCTTCAATGCACTGCTGGTAAAACACTACCATACCCAGAAAAGATCTTAATTTCTGCCGGCAGGGGACATCAGTACCTTCAACCATAGGATCATCCTCACTGACAGAAGCGATGGCGTGGACTTTTTCAGGATCGGTAGCAATACCGTCCGCACTGATGATGTGACCTAAAAGTTTCACAGAACTCCGCAAGAGATGACATTTCTTCGGAGCAAGCTTGAGGTTATGAGCCTTCAAACGCTTAAACACAATTTCCAGACGCTCTAACGCCAACTCTTTGGTGGGTGCAAACACCAGGACATCATCCAGATAACATAATAGGCTGTTGAAATTCTGATCCCCGAATATCGTCAACATCATCCGCATGAAAGTGGCCGGACTGTTACACAGCCCCTGCGGTAAACGATTATATTCGTATAACCCAAAAGGTGATGTAAACGCTGTGTATTTCCGGTCATCTTCATGAACTTCTACATTATAGTAGCCAGATGTGAGGTCCATAGTTGAAAAATAAGCATTTTCACCCAACGCAGCAAGAGCATCCGCTTGATGGGGAAGGAGATGCGCGTCTTGTGCTATAAAAATCAGCTAATGGCATGCTAGAAAAAGCTGTGTCACTGAAGTGTTGTTTCAGCAAATCAAAAATAGGACTTGGACTTTTGGACAAATCAATAGAGGGGTTACTGCGCAAGCCCACCCTCACAACTTCCCGTGCCCGGCCCATAAGCCTACTCATGACTTCATCAGCTTGTTCTTCGACTGGCATCCCTATTTTGCGCAAATATGACAGCACTATGGCTTCCCACTCATGTATTGTGTATGGATCAGCCCGATCACCCCTAAAACAAACAGGTTCTTTGATTTCAGATTTTAGAACTCTGTTCAAGACAGATGAGTCCGCATTACTTGAACTACACATTTTAGACTCTAAACAGGAAGCAATGCTCTCCCCCATAGAGCGTCCCATTCGTTCTACCATTCCCATTATTAATTCCATCGACTCATCCCCTCTCAGACTTGGTTGTTTCAGTCCACCTTCACTAAACTGAGGTGGTCGAGGACTTGAATAATCATTTACATATTGAACAGCCTCTAAGGCAGACATTGGAGTCAATGTGACAGGAGTATAATCAAGTCTGCCTCTCCCAACTGATGGCATAGGAGAAAACATGAAGAGACCTCTACCTCTACCAAAACTGTTCTCTGACTCCATATCCTATATTGACAATACCAATGTTGAACAAAAAAATGATTATCCAAATGAAAAAAATATACACTCCTTTTCTTGATAAGAAACTCAGATAACAAAAAAAATCTTCAGTTCTCAAAATGTTCTCAGTCCAAAGTTCAGAACTTTGCTCCTCTCAACGGTGAAACGTGTTCCTTTACTCCTCCTTGTGGACAAAAGCGATATTGCGCCAAACAGCTCCGACGCGAAAACTCTCTCGTCACCCACGGCACGAACTCCTCTGGAAATCTCAGATCAGTCGTTTCAGCACGCTGCTTCCAGAGTCACGGTCACGGCACCATTGTAACGGGGTTGTCTCTGCGTTGTGTTGTGTAAAACTCAGGATGGATACCAATTCGCGCTTGAAGACAGACTTTTATTCTGTTGACAACATATTAAACAGCGGTGATCAGATTCGCAAATCACCCTCGTGCATGCTCGCAGCCAGTCACCCTCTCGGCTGGCGCGAATCTAAATTACTAGCATTTATATAAACAGTTATACAACAACACAATTGAGAAATATGTACCTGTTGACAACATATTAAACAGCGGTGATCAGATTCGCAAATCACCCTCGTGCATGCTCGCAGCCAGTCACCCTCTCGGCTGGCGCGAATCTAAATTACTAACATTTATATAAACAGTTATACAACAACACAATTGAGAAATATGTACCTGTTGACAACATATTAAACAGCGGTGATCAGATTCGCAAATCACCCTCGTGCATGCTCTATAATAAGGTGAACAAACTTGATGTTACCACAAATATAATGTAGCATGAACACAAATCATACAGTATTCATTTAAACACACGTATTTATCAATATTAGTCCATAAGATGGTTATACAATTAGTACAATATACTTTTATCATGGAGCACTCACTCACCGCAGCCAGTCACTCTCGGCTGGCGCGAATCTAAATGACCCTACCGGAACTAGTTCATTATCTGGGTGGAGCGTGCAGGTAGAGTGCAATTAAAGGGACCATACATGAAAATTAGTGTAGCAAGTGGAAACACCTTTTTGACCCTGTTACACACACACCGCTAAACAGGGGTAATAATAAAAGGTGCACCTGGTTTTTAAAATTCGTAGTATGTTTATTAAACATGTCATACTGTCATACAAATAATTTAGCAGAGTAGTTTGTTGTAGCAGACCAGCAGAGGGCGCTGTGATTTCTGCACTGACTACAGTACAGCGCACCCACGCATACTCACACTATGCAGTGCACTACAGTACAGCGCACCCACGCATACTCACACTATGCAGTGCACTACAGTACAGCGCACCCACGCATACTCACACTATGCAGTGCACTACAGTACAGCGCACCCACGCATACTCACACTATGCAGTGCACTACAGTACAGCGCACCCACGCATACTCACACTATGCAGTGCACTACAGTACAGCGCACCCACGCATACTCACACTATGCAGTGCACTACAGTACGCATGGCCATAACCAGGGTTTGAAAATGAGTGAGGTCTGGGGTGGGGTTAAGAATTGTGCTATAAAAACCCCTACACATACATCTCATTATATACACTATACACTCTAAAAGAGACAGACATGTAGATATTTGTGAAAGATGTTTTCTCTGTATTGGAGGGATGAGCATTGTTAAATTATATCGAATTGCATCAAAATATGTTAATACTTAACTATAGGTCAGGTGGATAATTTTATCAGTTGTTTGTTATTCATGCAACAATGCATATTGCTGTTATTGTTTTCATTAATAGCCATTGCTATATAGATGATAACTTTTGCTATAGTGCTCTTATTAATGTTTCTAGCATGACTTTGTGAAAACTGAACTACTATCCTGAATGAAATAGCATAGACTTTTTCATGACTAGTGTTTGCATATTTCATTTAATTCTGTAACCTTGTTCTACAGATGTGTACTAGTGTTAAATGCTACTGTTTTTGATAGCGTTGAATGTTTCTGACAGAAAAAAAGTGTTTTTTTTTCGTTTGCCTTACCGAATGTGGTATCCAGTCATGCCGGCGATGCAGTGTTGCCAGATATTTATATGAAAACAAATTAAAACTGAAAAAAAAAAAAAAACGAAATTAGTTTTTTTTTTTTTTGTAAATAAGACAAGCTAAAGATTTTGCTAACCGTACACTGCAACTTCCCACTTTATTCTATAATGTCAAATTAAGTGGAAAAGACAAGTCCAAGACGCTTATTATAACTTGATCTGGCAACACGGCGGAGGCTGCGCCTGCGCCCTCACTCAAGCCTTGTTCAATCGTCTCACAGCGATCATTTTCATTCACATCAGGGTAGGGTGACCAGACGTCCCCGTTTTCTGGGGACAGTCCCGGTTTTCGGTTTCCTGTCCCCGACTGGAGCTGTCCCCGGAAATGTCCCCGTTTTACAGCACGTTCAAAACAACGATTACTTTCACCAGCAGAGGACACTGTGAGCTATATACTGATTACTAGTTGCGCGCCGCTACTTTGGACATGAAGAACTTGTCTTGGACTCAAGCGGCAACCTCCCGCTCTCTCTCGTGAAGCCAACAAGGAAGTGACTTAAACTGTAATTCATCAACTGGCCGCTAGAGGCTGGCTGCAAAAGGGAGTCAATCCCATAGACTCCCCATGTTAAAATGCCCAACTTTACAGCAGTAAAAAACGTTTACAGCCTGGTTCAAAAAATGATTTTGGTCTATATAGCTAATTTTGCCATTCAAGACAACTGTAAGGGGGGTGAATTTTTTTATAACTCATCTGTTTAAATTATATTAAGCCTTAAAGTTCTGCATAATTAAGGGCGTGGCCACTTGAGTTTTATACAGTCTATGCTTGGACTAGAGCAGAGCGAGAGCGCTACTATCGTCAATTATCAATAGAGACACAGCGTTATTGGTTTCAAGGTAGTCAAATACTAACTATATGCATGTTAAAACAAAGTAATACTGTTTGTGTGCACTTTATAACAAGGTATGATAAGGTGGGATTTTTTTTTTTACACACAGTATTAAACATTCATCTTCATTTAACTTCCGCCGTCAACTCCGATATGAATAATAATAATTAAAAAAATAATAATAAAAAAATTAACTAAACAATTACACTTGCAGAAAGCACAAACTTTGTGGTCAAAATTAGCCTAAAATGCAAAATAATAAGCCTGATTAGGGGTAGGAAAAATCAATTTCCAAAAGCATGAACATTACTTGGAAAAACAAGGTATGATAAGGTGGGATTTTTTACACACAGTATTAAACATTCATCTTCATTTAACTTCGGCCGTCAACTCCGATATGAATAATAATAATTAAAAAAAATAAAATAAAAAATAAACTAAACAATTACACTTGCAGAAAGCACATACTTTGTGGCTAAATAATAAGCCTGGTTAGGGGTAGTAAAGATCCATTTCCAAAAGCATAAACATTACTTGGAAAAAATCATTTAAAAAGTTGTAATTACTCAGTTTGTGTAAATGTTAAATACGACATCAGTGGGGAACAGTGTGTATGGGGTTTGGGGAATGGAGTCTGGGATATGGCGCCCTCTGGAGGAGAGAGGGAGAAACGCAGGGCACAGACTCATGACATAGATAAGTCAAGGGCAGTCAATATGCCTGTCAATCATCTTGCCACATTTACCATCCTCTTAAGATATAATTTAATTTAATTTCATATAAAGGAAACACTGCTGATCTGCCAGTCGTGAGTCTTTAATGGAGAGAACGTTAGCAAAATTAATTTAATTGCCAAATGCATGGTGTGTGTGCTAATATATTCTACTAAAAGAACCAAAGACTTAAACTACTTCAGTCTGTGTGCAGTGAATTTATTTAATACACGAGTTTCACAATTTGAGTTGAATTACTGAAATAAATGAACTTTTCCACGACATTCTAATTTATTGAGATGCACCTGTGTGTATATATATATATATATATATATAATTTATTCAATTAGCATCAACGGACTATAACATAATCGTGCTTAGGTTCTGTGAACTTAACCATAATGTACAATTTAAAGTCATTTGCTGTCAGTATAACGTTCATTATTGCTGGATAAAACTGATCTGAAGTGATTCCAACAGTTCCTCTTTGTGGTTATACTTGTGGTGCGACCGTGCGAGTAGTGCTTTGAGTATGAGATAGGCACATAAAAAAAAAAAAAAATGCATACATTTTACTGGAGAGATTTTTAAAATGTAATGTTTATCATTATGTGAACAGCCATTACAATCATTGTTTGAGAGTGTGCCACTGTAATATTTACATAAAATAATGTGTTTTAAAGATATAAACAAACAAAATTAATTTCAGGTTGGAGATTATTTAAGAGTGTTTAATATTAAATTAATAATTAAGAGCACTGTCCCCCAGAACTGCACATTTTGTATTACTCCCTTATCGAACACACTCAATGCTGGGGCAAGTTCAAGCTCAAACCGGTGCGCAACTTTTTGCTACGGTTTCCAGTTTGAACTACATTTTTATACCGTCATTTTTCTGTTGCACTTTCTATACTCCTCTGATTATATAATGGTAAATATTACAATATCATAGCACAACAACAGTGATCAGCAATAATGATAAGCCTAATACTCACAATAAAAAGAATAAGGTCATATAGATCACAGTCACTGCCCTTGCCATCCAGAATAAAAGAGAACATCCCAATCGAGTGAAGGGATTTGTGGAAACTGTGGTTCCTAATTATTGTGATCCAACATTTGCCTCGCATTTCAGGATGAAAAGACAAACATTTCAGGTGAAGGACAATCCACTTCTTACCTCCAAGACTGTGTTATGATCTATATGACCTTATTATTTTTATTGTGAGTATTAGGCTTATCATTATTGCTGATCACTGTTGTTGTGCTATGATATTGTAATATTTACCATTATATAATCAGAAGAGTATAGAAGTTTATGAAAGTGTCACTCCATAATACAATAGCAAAATATATAAATATGTATAGTATTTTTATCTTACATTAATCAGTGTCTAGCACACCTTCCTAAGGAAAGGATGGACCAGAAGACATTGCAATTACTAAATGATATTTAGACAGACTTAAAGAAGTTCCAGATCTATACTTGTGCTCTTATTATTTCAGTTATTTTGCCTTTAATGTAAATAAACGTGCAAACAACATACTTGCTCTTGTGAATTTATTTTGATGTTAATTACTTTGTGCCAGCTCTCTCTTTAATACCGCGTGGTTTATATACATGTTGCTGCTGATTGGGCTGACATGTTTGACACACCCACCAAACAAGAGAAAACGTATCTCAAACCCCGT